TAGTCCTTTTCCTCTAGGAGCTTATGGTCTAATAAGGTAGTAAAACAGATATAGGTCATTCTAATTGTAGGTTGAAGGGGTAAATTATGGGCTAGAAGAAAGGTATAAAGTGCTCTACGAACACGTATTTTTAAAAAACGAAGGTTGGGACAGAATCTCCAACAGGAAGGACAATGTAAAAGGGAATCAGACAAGAATGAAATTTGCCCCCCACTTCAAATTCTGGCCAAATTAACCCAAAAAGGGGGGGGGCTCCACCCTCCCATTACAAAACTTTTCTCTTAGGGAAAAGAAAAATGCTCTTGAACTGGGTCTTGAAAAAAGTAATTTCGATGGCAAGAGAGTTGGGGAAAGGGGATATAGATGCAAGTCTATCTTCAGGGAGGAAAGAAGGCACTTGAAGCCACAAAATCAGCAACGCCAGGCTTATTTGAAAAATCCTAAGTAATTTATTATCATGGCTGGAGCATCACCTCCATGAAGAATGGGAGTATCACTGGAAAGGAAGATTAGGACCCTGATACGTACATGGCACTGCCAGGCACTGAACAGGGTACATGCCTAAGACCAAATTGCTGCCCCTTAGGAGCTTACAGTTATAACAATACAAGGTGGGGAAAAGCACCACAATGTACAGAATGCAAAATGCTGAAGGATTTAGGAGAAAATTACAGCTGAGTTTCAGCTATTAACACATTAGGATACCCAATAGCTTTCTGACAGCTAGTAGTAAACCCATCCCTGAGGGGAGCACAAGGTAATATCCTTAGACAATAGGCCCTGGTAGAACTGGGCATTAAGACAGTTCTAAGAAAATAGAGAAAAACTGGGTATGAAAACCGAGCTATAGTAGCAACTGAATAAGCATATAAAATGTGGCTCCTTCCCTTTTCTCCCCACATCTTGACCTTTAACATCTCTGGCTTCCTACTGTGAACCTAGGGCAGAGTGGTGGTGACTCTGGAGGTGCTCCATGTTACTTCTACAAGCCAATTTGGGACTCTGTGCTAATAATCTATTCTCTGAGCCATCTATCTTTTGAAAAATGAAGGGGATGTTAGTCTTTTCCAGCACAAACTATGATTCAGTGAATTCTAGGAGTCTCTCCTGCCTCTTATGGTTAATAATCAGAATGAGAAGAAAAACTTAAAATATTATGATGTTTCTTACTTAGAAATTTTTCCCCATATAAATCACAAGTGATTCTTATCCCATGAGCTAAGTTCCACATCCACCCATTCTTCAAAATCTAACATCTACCTATATAAACTTACTTGTAACATGATGTGTTCTACATAATCTAAAGCATACACTGTATCTTTCAAGAAAGCAAGACCTGTTCTTCTCCCCTAAAACTCCCTTATGCCAGCTTTTTGGTATAATGTCTTCATTTAAAAGGGCCAAATCAGTGAATATACTCTTCACAAGAACATTTAAGAATTTAAATCAAATCCAAACAGGTGACATCAAAGCTTGGGGGAGAAAATCAGTAACCAAGGTGGTTAATTACAGCAATAGTTAAAACTGTTTATATACAGATTAAACAAGATATAATCGTCTAATTACTACCAAAAATACAGGCAAACTTCCCATAAGCAGGTTTCTGAAAAATAAATACTTGTTAAATTCAATAGTGAATTTCTGGTAAACATCCCTTAATTTACTTTTTTAAAAGAGGAAGACACATTGGATGGCTGTAAGTCCCTTAGGAATCTGTGACACTGGCCATATTCCAAAGTTCTCAAATGAGTACAGATTTCTATAATTGGCCAGGTCACACAGTCTATGGAAGTAACCGTGGTACTGATTTCCAATACGATTTTCCTCTCGTAGGGAACTAAAAAAAACCTACCAGGTTCAAGTGGAAACTGGAGAAGCTGAGTCTGTCCAAGGTTTTCAAAACAAGTCATATAATCAAAAACAAGCTTGATTGTAAGCCAATACATAGGTATAATCAAAACCAAAACGGAGTATGGGTTTTTAAAACCACTACTAATCAGATTTTTACTCATACAGGCCATAATGAGACTGTTTCATGAAATCATGAGCAAAGCAGACTAATTTTAGCCATTATCCTGAGCTAGCAACGTATCTATTAAGAAGTAATTAAGTTTTATCTCACATGTGCCACTATTTCTCCTGTAATACAGTCTAAGAGTTCACAAGCCTACCTATGGTCCCCAGAACCTCAATATCACAGTAAACAAATACAAATCCCAAAAAGTATTACCTTAAAATAAGAAATATTTACTTATCTACTGCCACATGGCCATTACTTGATCAGCAACTGCCCACACAAAATGTTGCTAAGTTTCTAACACATTCTTTAAGGTTTCTAAAACATTTGTGGAAGACTCTAATTTCCCATCTGTAGTATATTACACTGTTAGCTAAAACCCCATATTCAAACTAAAGTTGAAGTTGCTTTTCTTTTTTCACAAGGTTCAAAATTGCTGAACCAAAAGGTTAACAATGATCTTGTTTGTATGCAGTTCCTGAAGATTCTTTTAAGTAACACAAAAATAAAACTTCAATAAGTTATCTTTAGATCAGTAGGTTTGACAAATGCAATCATTTACTTAAAAGAAATAAGCCACTCAGCATAAACAATGGACTATAAATTTAAACCTCATAGGAAGATTATTTCCATATAGATTTCAACAAATTGTTTTCTATAAAGTGCCATGTTTCCCACTAAATTATTAAACTCTACAAGGAATTTCAAATAAGGGGATGAAGAAAACTATCAAAGGATGGCAGTTATAAGCACAAAACGTAACTGCTACAAACCCACCTGGATTAAGGTATTATAAAAAGTTACCTTCCACATTCAGATTTCAAGGTTGTCCTACACGTATTTAAAACAACAGATGGAAAAAAAAAAACAGATAAGAAAAAATAACCTAAGAACAAGTCATTGTTACTGTGTTACTACCGTCTATACAAATCAAAAGGAGCCCTGCAAAATCAGTTGTTTCCTTATCTCGTTTACCTTCAAGGAAATGGAGAATAACGCTAACCTTTCTCTGAATGTTACAGACTCGTATCTGTACTGTAGTAATTTATTATGGCCATGTCCTATTCTTCAGTAGGTCACTCGAATGGAAATAGGTAGGCATCAGGGTTCTAGAGAAAAAGCATCAGTCTGGAGGCCAATCAGCGCTCCTTGCTACATGGATGACTTAGAAGCTTAGTCATTTAACTGCTCTGACGCAATTTCTTATTCATCTATTACTTTGGGAAAAAACAGCACCTAATCCACAGGGTTAATTGTGAAAATTAACTTATAACCTAAAACCAAAGTGCAGTTCAACTAATACTCTGGGGGTAATCTACCCACCACCCAAAGCCAAATAATGGTTTTTGGATTATCCACTTCACTGCTCCCAGCAAAAGCTCAAAAAGTTGAGAACGTAAGAAAGAAAAAAAAAAGTTGAGAACGTAGTAATACACAGGTAAGCCCAACCTCACCACAAAGGAAAACAAATACATTTAAGGCCCAAGATCTACTGCTTACTTTCAACAGGCCTTCAAAAACTAAGACCATCAAACCAAACTAATCTTACTTAGCTAAAATATTCATGGGCGAAGGGTTTAAAGCTCAGCAGAAAATAACTGTACATTGGGCCATTCTTACAGATGGAATCTTATTCTAAAACCCAAAAAGATGAATGTGATGAGCTGATGCTGCCTGTAGAAAATCTTGTCCTAACCTATTTTCATTTTCTACGTGTATGAGTATGTAGGTACTAGGTTATCATATTTATTTTATCAGCAATAATGTAAACAATGATACTGGGATTTTTCATAGTGTTAATCATGATGCTAAATCTGACATATAAAGTCCAATGCTATTTAAAACTCCACAACCATCCCATTCTGATGACTTGAAATTATTAAAGCAATCTTTTGTTTTCTAAGCTTATGCAAAAAGTTACAAGAAGCATCTAACACATTGTTACTTCCTCTCCAAATATTTCTTTAAAAGCATACATGGGTAAAAATAAAGTGAGATTATCAATTACCTGCAGTAGATGTTATTATAATTCCTGAAAAGAGATTTCTAGTTGCTAATTCATTTATCTGAGGTTATTTTTCAAAGGACTGAGTCTTCACTCCAGCTGTCCTCATCCACCCCTCCATCCTCCATGCAGCATTATAGGGAATGAGGAATATCCATCTCAGTGGGGTTTGCTTCATTTCTATACAACATTTGGCATTGCTGGCCCCATCCACTAAATGCCAGGCGTGTTGTCTCTTCCCTCCTCCCCAAATCTCATCCATTTCCAAATGTTCTCTAAGATATAACAACAGCTTGAGCTGAGAATCACTGCATCCAGCTGGTGCCCTTCAACTACTGAGTAAGAAAAAATGCCTAGTGAGGTGTACAGATGAGCATTTACTTGTGAAAAATGACTTCTAGGTTATCCTTAATTTATGACCCTACTGTTACTGCAACTGTATTTTTTTTTTTTTTCAAAAACAACTTCAGCTAAATTTTTTATTTCCACCACAGGCTTAATATAAGCTACAAAAGTACAAACTGAATTTCTTCCAATTATCACTGGCCTGGGTCAAATGAAGTGGTTACCAAATAGTTATTTAAGCTGACCCAAAAACAGCCCTGTGACCCAGTTATATAAGTTTCTTTATGAAGGAGATATTGCCAATTTTCAAATATTTCAGGTACTGAGGACCGATAATGTCAAACTTCATTTTAGTTTAAGACTACACCCTTCAGCAAACCTAGAGTTTCCCAGTAACAGCAAAACAAAGATTCCTATTCTACTCATATTCTACCCTCAAACAGTCCTAATGATGAATACTGTTAAGAAAATAAATAAGTTAAATTTGACAACCTTGTTGCCCTTTCAATTAGTTTCACAAGTTATCACACAAAGGCTTGCTTCACAAATGTGTAAACAAAACCTTCACCCACCTCACAGCACTCAAAAAATTAACATACTATGTAAAACGAATATTAGTCTATATTGCCAGAATACATTTTCTTCCAGAAATATTTTAATAAAAATTGGCCATTTCCAAGAAACACCCACTGCATGCCCATCAATAAGAGAACCATAACAAAATAGAAAATTTACCATATGGCTATGATTTAAAGAAAAAAAACGGGCAGACACTACAGCACAAAGTCCAATAATAAAGTTATATTCCTTTGTATGGGGCTATGATTAGGATTCTGAACAGATTTTGAAATAAAAATACAAATGCTGGACTATTTAGGTCAAAGGACCTCCATAGAAGCATATCTGTCCTTAAAGGCATTCCAGTTTGAGACTCAATTTTAAGAATAAGGCGTAACAAATGAACAGAAGACATACTAGGTGAAAAGAGGGATTCTTCAATCCCAACATATTCTACACCTGGTAAAACAAATCTAGACTTTGTTTTTTTCCTTTAACTGCCAAGGCTGGAAACAAAGATAAATAGAAGGCACAACAGTTTTGCTCTGGTTTTATGTTATTTGGATTTCGGGGTTTCTTTTTGTTTTTGGGCTTTTTGTGTGGTTTTTTTTTTTTTTTTTTTTTTTTACAAATACAAATTAAACATGAAAAAACTCTACTTCAAAAGAAATCTCAATCAATTGCATTCTAGACATTTAAAACCTATCTCACAATTTAAATGGTAAAAACAGTTAAGTTTGTAATTGTTTGGTGATCACATATCAAAAGAAAAAAAAAAAAACTCTACTAATACCTTTTATTCAGTTTTTAACCATACCAGCAAGAATCAGAACTGTCAATTTTTCCAATGGCAATTTCTACACACCAGAAGGTAGTCATGACTCTCAAAGAACAAACAATTTGGATTTTTCCTGCCTTCAAATGTTTACCAAATCCTGTGTTTCTCACAGGCTTTTGCAACACATAGAAAATAAGAAATATTCCAATGAATGAAACATACCAAATGTCAGTAATAAGCAAGACACATTCCTTTGGGGAAACGGCTGTTAAAAAAAAAAAAAATCCAGTCTGTATATGCAAAAGTAAAGCAAGGAAATTCAGTCTTTTTCTCTTCTTTAAAAATCTGTTTTTCCTAAAATATCATTCCACAAAATTGGAAGTGAAGGACTAAAAGGTGAGGAGAGGGAAGGGCGGGAGAGGGAGCACACATCATTAACACAAAAAGTAAAATTGTACAAACTTAAGCAGTTTATCATAGACTAGGGTCAAACTCCAGGATACCAAACGCTGGTGTAAGAAATTCACCATTCTGCAGGAGCTGTGTGAAGATCAATGAAGAGCAATTCACTGCCTTGGAGCGATTCCCCTTCCCACTCCAAATCCGGGTTTCTGCACCATGCCTCCACGGGGAGGGCCTCGCATTCCACCACCCAGCCCACCTCGAGGGCCTCCTGGTCCCCGCAGGCGGTTATCTCGACGGTCCCCTTCGCGGGCAGCTCGAGTCTTCTTCTCTTCCACATTCAGGCGGACCTCACCTCTGAACATGATGGGCTGTAGGAATCAAGGTAAGCAGACTTAACAGAGTGCTTATGGGCTACCAACTACCGGAGATAAAACAAAGCTATTATCAAGAACCAGCAACTTATAAATCAGCTACATTCTCACTTCAGTTATTTCCAAGTTAGAATACGTAATTCTCCCGATTAACAAATACACGGAAAGGTGGGAGTTAGATACACAGGCTAGTTCAAAAAAAGACAATTTAGGGCAGCCCTGGTGGCACAGCGGTTTAGCACCGCCTGAAGCCCGGGGTGTGATCCTGGAGATCCGGAATCGAGTCCCACGTCAGGCTCCCTGCATGGAGCCTGCTTCTCCCTCTGCCTGTGTCTCTGCCTCTCTCTCTCTCTGAATGAATGAATGAATGAATGAATAAATAAATAAATAAATAAATAAATAAATAAATAAATAAATAAATAAATAAATAAATAAATCTTTAAAAAAAAAAAAGACAATTTACATTAACATAGCAGCACAACCAACTCTCATTGTACTTGTTCTTTTCCCCACAGAATTACATAAACAGAGTATGTATACTTGCCACCTTCTCCATGGATTTGAAGGCTTAGAATAATCTTCCATCATCACCTAACGTGGAAAGACTGTGCTGCACAGTATTTATGTAAACTATATATACATCTCAAAACCATCATTAATTTCATCTAAACAGAACTGGAACAAAATGCTATTTGCCTTAACAAAATTTTGGAAAATACTGAAGACAATAAAGATAACAAAGCTTAGCAAAAGAAAAAAGACACCCACACTAAGTCTTGGGCCTTCTTTTTAGCCCAATAGATCTGAAGTAGAAACCAAAGGGTTACTAGAGATAGCAACGACTTTAATTTATGCTCCTCACTGGCACACACTGGTTTTCTAAGTGACATATTTTTTAAATAGATATCTAACAGTGCTTACCATGCAGAGAAGTGTTCTGTATACTTCACACTTATTTAATGTCCACCGCCACCCATGAGAGCGGTCATTACACCCGAGACCAGCAAACCAAGGGCCAGGAAGTTTATGGAACTAACCCACGGGTCACAACAGAATAAGCGATGGAAGCAGAATATAAACAAAGGCATCCTGACAGGCAAGTATACGCTTTAAACCACAAAGCTATACTACTGCATGTCAAACACCATGGTCATCTGTCTTAGAGAAGCTATTTCTGTACTCATAAAGAATTACTGAAGAGAGTATGGTAGAGGAGCCAACACAGTAAGAAGAGGGAAAGGCAAGCTACTTATGAAATCCCAGAGGAAAAGGGGAGATATGAAAGTACACATGAAGAAACCTGCATGGGGGGGGGGGGCCTTTTGTACAATTTTAACTTACATTTAAAATTTTGATTAAATACATATTTGTACTTGTACATTAATAAATACATTAAGACTAAGATATTAAAAATATTTACGTAACTTTTAATATTCACACTATATAAACCTCTTCACACACATTAATATGAAGCCCTGCTCCAGGAAATATTCTATATACAATGGGAAAAACAAAACCATAGTAAAGTCTAAAAGATAAGGGGAGAGAATTTGAGGGGGGAATGTTTTAATAGGTAGCAATGGAAGACATGTGAGTTATCACAAGGGTATAAGCAACTTGAATGAGAAAAATGTAACATACAACACCTTTCTGAGGAAATTTTATTTCAAATAATTCTTAATGGTTTATCTATGTGCATTAAATGAAAAAAAACCCTCACACCTTGGACAATGAAAAAAGCCAGTTATCAGATCTGACCTCTTCTGGACCTCTGTGAATATCCTACCCTCTAAGGATAAATTCAAGCCTGTACCAAAAATGCTGGCCACTGGATCTTTTCTGCATACAGAATGATGGATTTACACATAAATGGGACATTTCCAGGTTCAATATTCTGTGGCTATGCTAAGACTAGACACTGTTCTCTCCTCATTTCTGTGTTCTTTGCAAGAGAAGCTTCATAAAAAGTGGTTAAATAGTTTGAAAGAATAGAATACACATGTGCAGATTAGGACCACAACATTAAACTTTACAGTATAGTCATCAACAATGTCAAGAACATTAGAGAGTCTATACAACCCATGGGAAATAATGATCTACATTTCTATTACATGGTTAACAAAACGTGTAGCTTTAATCAGCAGACTGAAAGATTAGTTGTTGTCAAGGGCTGCAGAGAAAGGGTATGAGGAAGGACTGCTTAATGGACAAAGGGCTTACTTTTGACAAAAATGTTGTGTACTTAGGTGATGGTTGCACAACCTGTATTAAGAGCCACTAAATTTTACACTTTAAAATGGTTTAATTTTGGGACACCTGGGTGGCTCAGCACCTTCGGCTCAGGGAGTGATCCCAGGATCTGAGATTTAGTCCCGCATCAGGCTCCCTGCAAGGAGCCTGGTTCTCCCCCTCTGCCTGTGTCTCTCTCTGTCTCTGTCTCTCTCTGCCTCTCTCTCTCTCTCTCTCTCTCTCTCTCATGAATAAATCTTTTAAAAAATAATAAAATAAAATGGTTTAATTTTGTATTATGTGAAGTTCACCTCCATTTTTTTTAAAGTGAGATTTTTTTTTTAACTCCCATAGTCACCTCAGTGAATTAGTAATATTATTACACTTTTGTTATTCTCTACTACTACAAGACGTGATCTTTTCTTAATTAAAGATATGGGGAGGTGCACCTGGGTGGCTCAGTTGGGTAAGCATCTGCCTTCAGCTCAGGTCATGGTCCTGGTGTCCTGGGATGGAGCCCCAGGTCAGGCTCCCTGCTCAGATCAGAGCTTGCTTCTCCCCCCATTCCTCATCCTGCTCATGCTCTCTCAAATAAATAAAATCTTAAAAAAAAGAAAAAGATACGGGGAAAGGGAAGGGTTCCTTATAAACTACACAATAGTAAGATTCTGATTCTACAAAATCCCTCTATTATTAGAAAGCACTGGTAAGAAGAGTTCTGTTAATAAAAGTGGTTCCAGGTAGAGTGACTCCAAACCTAGACAACTTATAGAATAAAAGGAGAAGCTCCTCATAGTTAGACCCAGATAACAGTCCTATATCAAAACTACCCAGGGGAAACTGACTCAGCTAGAAGTACACTGTATTTCATCTCCTAAACCAGAGGCCTCACCAAGAAAAGAAATCTGCATAAATTTCGGTGCATTGGTAACTATTAGTTATTTCAATCTCTTCATTCAAGGTCTTCAAAATTAAGTTAGACAGAAGTTTTGTTACTTTAAACTCCCAGGCAAGTCTTTTAACAATGGCCAATCACCATGGAATGAATTTATTACCCAAACACATTGGAGTGAATACTACTTTACCAGTTTTAGGATGAATACATTCCAATATCCAAGATAGTCTTGTTTTTTTGTTTTTTTTTTGTTTTTTTTTTAAAAAAGATCAAAAACTGCTTACCCTGTTGCTAAGGACCTTTTGAACAGGCTCAGAATCATCAAACACAACAAAACCAAAATTGGGTAATTTCCCGCCACTGTTAATGCGTAGCTCCACCACATTCCCATAACCTGTAAGTGAAACACAGACTCTCAACTTATGAGAACATGCCCTTTAAATATCATACATAGACTATCCAATGATAACCACTAGTCACATGTGGATACAGACCACTGGAAGTGTACCAATTCCAAAACAAGAAATGCCTTAAGTGTAATAAACACTGGACCTAAAGGACTTAGTATGGAAAAACATAAAATAACTTATTTTTCCATATTGAAATGATGTTTTAGATACATTGCATTAAATAAAATTAAAATTAAATCCTCATTTCTACGTTTTAAAATGTGACCACTAAAAACAGAAATGAAATGTAGCCACTAAAAACTTATAATTACATACGTGGCTCATCTATTTCTATTAGACAGCACTGCATTAGATGGATCTAGTGTTTAACTCCATAACCTACTTTGAAAAAAATCTTTAAGCTCCGATTTGTCCACTTCATGTGGTAGATTGCCAATAAAAAGTTGGTGACTATCAGGGTGTCTCACAATTCTTCGGGGCTCAACGTCACCTTGCTCACCAGCCTCACGGACTTAAGAAACAAAAACAGCAATGAAAGATAAAGACAATTTTCAGTGACTATTTCATTTAATAAATTTTTTCTCCACCCCTAAAACCAGGTAATTTCATCAGCTCCACAATTTTTTTTAAAGTAGAAAATATCAACCACCCCTAAGACACAAGCTCTCACCTAAAACTCCCCCAAACTAGGTAAGTCACCCTTCTGAGCTCTTACTTGGTCTGGGTCCCCTCTGGGGAGGAATATTTATCCGCTGTTCTCGCACTCTTTGATCCCTCTGAGGCCTCTGCGGTGGAATCTGAGATTCAGGTTTAGATTCCGGGCGAGGCTGAAAAATTTATAAGTCAACTGCGTAAAAACAAAGCAAGCTTACTTTTAAAAGTTTCTTCGCTAACAATAAGGTTTAAGAGAGAAAATGAAAGAGGCACCTGGGTGGCTCAGTCAGCTGAGCATCCAACTCTTGGTTTCTGCTCAGGTCATGATCTCAGGGTCCTGGGATTGAGGCCTGTCATACTCCGTGCTCAGAGCAGAGTCAGCTTGTCCCTCTCCCTCCCCAACCCTACACACCGGCCTCAGCTCAGTGCAAGATTGCACTCCTTCTCTCTCTCTCTCTCTCTCTCTCTCAGACAAATAAATGACAATTCTCTCACAAATTATTAAAAAAACAAAACAAAAAAAAAAAAAAACCTTGGACTCTGCTCTGTGTACCAGCTCCCACATTCTCTAAACCTGTGTGAAACCAAATTACATGAAATACAAGCAAATATGCCTAATACACAAACTTAGAAACTCACCTGTGAAGCTGGTACTTTAACAACATGAGGTGGTATCCCAGTAACTGGAACAGCTCCACTGGGTGGAAGGTTCTTACTGGTCACAGATGCCCAAGAAAATGTCTAAGGGAACAACAACATTAGTGGCTTGACCATATCAAAACAATATAAAAGCTCTTAGTTATTAGATTTCTCATACATATGAACCACATTTTCAGATAGGATAGAGTTTCTAAGTACCTCGAGATTCCTTTTCTCCTCCTACTTAGAAATTTAGTACTAAAATTCCCTTACTCATCAAGTACCAGCAAAATATGAAAAGTTTAATAAAATTCTCTCCTCCAAAACCATATCTTCCTCCTATGATTCCTCCAACTGATGTGTAAACGTCAACCCAATTACATCAACTTTAGAACTACTCTGAACACCTTTTCAATCTACACACATCAAATTTACCAAATCTTGCTACTTACTGCATAAAGATCTTCACTGCCACAACCTTAATCCCAGGTGTCAGTTTTCTCTCCAGGACTACTACAATAGCCACCTAACTAGTCATTCCTTCCTAATCCAGCCAACCTACTTTTCTACCCGCAAGCAAAGTCATTTTACATTTCTCATTCCTACTCACCTAATCACTGCCAGAGATAGACCAAAAACTGTTTTACCAATAGTTCCCAAACTTAGGACAATGCCTAGCACAGAAGCACTTGAATTAATTGTTAGATAAATGATGTAAGAATCCTGACTACATAAATAAAGCATTAAAACATATTCCCTCACGGAGCATCAAATGTAAAGGTTCCGGGATTTCAGTTAACATCAGCCTAATGAGGCTCAGGAATAACTGAAAAGCTTCAAACTTTTGAAATCATGTATTCTAATTAGAAGAGTAGCTATTATTTCAGTAGTTTCTACTTCTACTTTAAGGTTATCCTCAATTAGATTTCAGAAAAAAGGAAAGTCTGCTATGCCACAGTATTTTTCAAAAAGATATATTATCACTTGTTGGTTATAACAAGCATGTCATAATTTGAAATAAAATATTTTTAAAATGAGGGCTTATTGATACGGTAATAAAATAGCACCTGAAATTTCTGGTCTTTAAAAAAAAAAAAAAAGAGTATTAAAGTTTCCTTAGGAGGGGAGGGGAGTTACTTTTATAAAATATGCATCTTACTTCTTATCTGAGGTATGGCTCAGTATGTAAGAAATTTCCCTGAACTGAAAAACATACCTAGAGAAGTCAACGAAACACTAATAAAAGAAGAGGTATTTTTTAAAATAAATCAGAAATAGAGTAAGAATAAAAAGACACATTGCATACCCTCAAGTCTTCCTGTACTGTCTGAGCTATGTCCGTAGGTGCTGGAGAAGAACTCTTCTGAGTATCCTCAGGAGCAGTTTCTTCCAATACTGGCTCAGACTTTTCCTCTTGGATCTCAGACACAGGTTCTTGCTCTGGTTCTGGTTCAGGATCAGGTTCTGGTTCAGCAACAGGTTCCTCTAAATGTTCTTCCAAGTCATTGCTTTCACAGGAAAATTTAAGAAATATCATTATGCCTCAAATGATTTAGCAAGAAATTCCGAAGTTTTTATTAACTATAGAGATCTGAACCAAAAAAATAGCTCCCTCTCTCCAAAAAAAGATCTAGGAGTTCCACATCTGCATATTAAAACAAGACTTTTTGGAAGAGCACTCAATGAGCAAATCTTACTGCAATCAGATTTGCTAAAGTCTGATAAGTAAGCACATCAAAACAGATCAAAGATGAACCAAATCATGATTTTCTGTCACAATCCCAAAAACTCACAATTTACCTACCACACATAACAAAAGACAGGCTGTGGGGAAGGGGAAGAGAGGTTATTCAATGGGTATAGTTTTAGTTTTGTAAGATGAAAACTTCTAGAGATCTGTTGCACAACTACGTGCATAGAGTTAAACATTACTACACAGTGCACTTAAATTTCATATGATGCAGTTTTTACCATCAAAAAAGCCTCTCAAAGAAATCACCCAAATAATTTAGAGGAAAAAAATAGTTGCGATTCAGAACACTAGCTCTTAAAACTTCCACACGAATCACAATATTTGTTCACATGGCAGGTGTTTTCCCCCCTGAAATCTAATTTGGCTCATGTCTGTGGTGAGACAATAGATTATTCTCAACCAGCAACCCAGGTGAGTGGTGTGGTTTGTCCATCACCAAGCTTGAGAAATACATGAAAATATCCTTTAAGCACTAAATACTAACACCAAAGGTTTCATTATCACATGGCAACTAATATTAATTTTTATTCCTATCAAACATTTCTGTTCCGGATGTAGAGAGAAAAAAAAAAAAAAACAGCTTAAGACAGTCACACATTTACTGTCTTAATAGTCATTTAATTCATGTCTGAATTTCTATCAATTTATGCCTGATCTCTAAATAAGTCCTTCAACGTACTTCCCCCAAAGCACTTAATGCAATGCCTTCTTACATTAAATACTTGATAAGAAGTCCCAGAATCTGTTTTTCACCTACTGTCAGCAAGTTACAACATTTTTGTTAGCTCAGAGATACTAAAAGCAAAAACCTTTCTTTTAGGAAATAACTTATATTCTGAGATAATTCTGAGAGAATATGTAACTCCCTCCAACCAAAGAGAACACAACCCAAATTCTCATGCAGCCTTAGACAGATGAACACATTTTTTCTTTACCTGACACTCTGATCATAGAAAGTTCCAGAATCATCAGGTACCACCTCAGGTGTCTGCTGTCTTTCTTCAGGTTCCTCTACCTCTTCCTCAGATTCTACATAAGAAAACAAATTTCAAGGAATTTGTGCTTATTTAATTCTCAAATATAGCTGACCCCTGAAGAAGATGGTTTGAACTATACAGGTCCACTTACATGCAGATTTTTCTTGATAAATACAGTATTGTAAATATATTTTCTCTTCCTTATGATTTTAATATTTCCTTTTCTCTAGCTTACTTTTAAGAACACAGTACGTAAAATACATATACAAAATGTGTTAATTGATCGTTTATATATCAGTAAAGTTTCCAGTCAACAGTAGGCTATTAATAGTTAAGTTTTTGGAGAGTCAAAAGTTATACGGGAATTTTCGACTACGGGGGGGGGGGGGGGGAGGAGGGTGTCAGTGCCCCTAACCCCCATGTTGTTCAAAGGTCAGCTTTATATTCACTTTCACAATGCTCACTGTGGGTGGAGTGATGAGGTGGATGGAGGAATGGGTTAAATACCTGCTGGGTGATAAAGGAGTATACTTATTGTGATAAGCATCAGGTGTTGTACTAAAGCATGGAATCGCTATATCATACACACGAAACTAGTATTATTATGCTGTATGCTAACTGGAATTTAAACACTTAAAAATAAGTAATGAAATAAGCATATGTATATAAATGTAAGTAAATTATAGCAATTTAGTAAAATTACGGCAAAAGCTTTAAGGACAGAATTAAGGCTACGAGAGTGTTTGGGTTAAGAACATGGGAGTCTAGGTCATACTGTCCATAATTCAATGCAGGGTCTACCACCTAACTAGCTATACAATATCAGGCAAAGTATTTCTCTGCCATCTCAGTGCTCTAATACATTAAATGAGAATAGTACTTATCTATAGGCCTGCTGTATTACACAATAAATACAAAGCACTTAGAATCATTTCAGCCATATAGAAAACACTAATATACTAATTATTATTGGTGTTTAGAGACAATTTGTCATGGGTTTGTGTTTCTGCACATCTTACAACTAAAGCAATGGCTAACCTTTGTTTCAGTTCCTAAATTTCTTAGGAACATTTAAACAGCAAACAGCCTCAGAAAATAATGTCTCCCTTTAGAGCAAAGAGCAGGCATGTTTACACCCATTATAAAAGATTTTGATTCCTTAAACTTAGGGTTCCAGCTCTATAATGCACCCCACTCCAATGCAGGTATCATATGAACTTCAGGATATCCTGTGGAAATTGTGGCAAAGGGATCCCTGGGTGGCTCAGTGGCTTAGTGCCTGCCTTTGGCCCAGGGCTTGATCTTGGAGTTCCAGGATCAACTCCCACATCAGGCTCCCTCCATGGAGCCTGCTTCTCCCTCTGCCTGTGTCTCTGCCTCTCTCACTCTCTCTCTCTGTCTCTCATGAATAAAGAAATAAAATCTAAAAAAAAAAAAAAAAAAAAAATACAAGAATTAAATTAAAAAAAAAGAAATTGTGGCAAAAATACATTATCATGTTGCAGTGAGTAATTATGTACTCATGACTTAGAAGTTTTGGGTCTTCCATGAAACAGGTTAACTTGTTAGCTCTTAAGTAGGTTAAAAACTGAGACCCTTTCTCCGTCTTGACAATTAGAAGTTATTAATGAAGAAAATACAGAGTGTAATAAAAACGTCCGAGAAACCCATACTTTCTTCAGGTCAACCTGATGCCTTCAAAAAAAAAAAAAAAAAATTGAGAGAAGTAACTTACCCTCCTGAGGCTCAGTGACAAAGCCACCAAAGACCTCATCTTGGTATCTGAAGATATCATTGTGAACGTAGAACTTATTCGCAACAGAGCCCTGCAATGGCAACAAAAACTTTGATTTATTCAGCAGACTTTCAAAAAAACCAAATCACCCTACACCAGTGGTTCTCAACTAAGGGCAATACTGCACCACCAGAGACATTTGGCAGTGTCTGGAGAGATTTCAGTTTTCACACAGGGGAGTGCAACTGAAACTACGGAGAAGAGGGCAGGGATGCTGCTAAAACATCCCACAATGCACAGAGCAGCCAGTCACAACAAAGAATTATTTGGCCCAAAATGGTAATACCAAAGACGAAAGACCCTGCTCTACATTATAGCCATTAAAAACTACATTCAAATATACTGCTGCTTAAAATACCAACAAATGGATATCCAAACATTGGTAAAGCTCTAAGTATGTACAATGCCACACACCTCAAATCATTTTTTGGATAATAAATACATACTACCAATTGCAGCAGGTATTTAAAATTCCCTTAATTCCCTGTATCCAACAATATTGATAAAGCACTCAACAGTGGTATAGCTAAAAAGGTTTGCCCACACTAGGTAGAAGACGCATGGGAATACAACCAGTTATTCAGTTTCTTTCTTTTCTTTTTTTTTTTTTAGTTTTTTAGTCATTCAGTTTCTAACACTGTCTTCATCTGAAGAAAGGATACCACCTTACAGCTTTGAGTATTAATATTAGCTTTGAGACAATTCATGTAAAAATGTACCTTATTACGGTAATATCAGATTCTTCCTCTTTAATAGTAAAAGGAACTTTAATCAAACTGGAAATAACTGGTCATCCTATCCCCACATGATTCTTTATATAGTTAGAAGTGCCTCAAGTTTGATACTACAGATAATCTAAGCCATCCTCTGAAACTTATGACTAAAATGAAACATGTAGCTTTTCAAAAAGATAATCGAGTTATTCATACCATAAAAGGACAGGGTTTTAGATTCATTACTCTGGACAGAAAACTATCTTAAGGATAATGCTAGAGAAAACATCTAGCCAGCAGGCCGCTATTGAGCCACTTCCACACACTTGTGCAGATAGGCATCCTGAATGTGTTCAGTCTGCACCAGTCAGGAAGGCAGTACAAATATAATTATCAACAGTACAAATATAGTTGCCAACATAAATTGCCACCCATTCATGACAAGCATGATAACTAAAAGTAAGCAGGGTTCCTTGAAGAAACAGCAGATTCCAGAGCCGGGGCTAGAGCAGGGAAGAGTCCAAAATGACCCTGAAACATCTTGTGTCACAGAAGTTAAAAAGTACTCCCCTGGAACGCCTGGGTGGCTGAGAGGTTAAGCCTCTGCCATCGGCTCAGGGCGTGATCCTGGAGTCCCAGGATCAAGTCCCATATCAGGCTCCCTGCATGGAGCCTTCTTCTCCCTCTGCCTGTGTCTCTGCCCCCGCTCCCCCATCTGTCTCTTGTGAATAAATAAAATATTTAACAGCAACAAAAAAAAATTTATTCCCCTCACCAAGACAAATACAAGCCAGCTTGAAGGAGCTCAGACTTAATAGATCTGGGATATTTCAGCCATTAAGTTAATCAGTGGGTTAAATCCATTAAATAAACTCCACAAGTGACAGCAGATAGAAGGTGGAGTACTTTATAGTAAGATGCTAAGTAATGAATACCAAATGACAGAAATAGATAATCACTATTTATAACCATCAGAGTAGCAGCTGACTACGGCAAGAATGCTAAAACTAGCATACACAAAAGTCTGATGAAGAACGAGATAACTGCAGTCTCAAAGAAATGAACCACAATGTGTTTACTAATAAATAAAAATACTAACTTCACAGTGGCAAACGTAGTGACCATCACCTTAACTAAGTAATCAATGTTAATAACACTAAGACTTAAATGACATCTAGTGCCTTCCTAATGTGGGGTGGGCACTGAAGGACACTAACATGTGCATAATCTAGATCTAATCACAAGAAAATAGACAATTCAAACAGAGATATTCTATGAAACACTTTGACAGCGCTCTTCAAAAAAGTCAGTGCTGGTCAGCCCGGATAGCTCAGCGGTTTAGCGCCACCTTCAGCCCAGGGCGTGATCCCAGGACCCTGGGATAAAGTCCCAGGTCCAGCTCCCTGCATGGAGCCTGCTTCTCCCTCTGCCTGTGTCTCTCCCTCTCTCTGTGTCTCTCATGAATAAACAAACAAAATCTTAAAAAAAAAAAAAAAAAAGTCAGTGCCATGAAAAACATAAAATTAAAGAATTACTGATGGTTAAAGGATACTAGAGACACGACAACTATATTATATTATATGGAATCCTGGACTGATTCTTGGACCAGGGAAAAAAAATACCACATAGGACATTATTGTTACAACCACCAAAATTTAAATATGGGCTACAGATTGCTAATTCTATTAATATCAGTACTTCCTGAATTTGAAAACTGTAGTTATGAAAAAGTATTCCTTACACTTATGAAATGCTCACTAAAATACCTAAGGATGACAGTGACTAGGCATGATGTCTCCAACCTATTTTCAAATGGTTTTGAATTAAAATGACAGGTAAACAGAAAAAGAATTACAAACGTATCAGCAAGTGTTGGCGGTGGTTCTAGGTAAGGAGTATGTGTGAGCTACTGTACTATTACTACAACTTTTATGTTTGAAATTTCAAAATGAACAGTTCCTAAAAAGGTATGCACAACCTTTCATCGTCTCTTTTTTTCATACCTCAGGAGCAAGGACAAATGTCTGCATGAATCTCCTCAAAGCCTGGTTGTTATTAGAGAGCAACCCCATCACCTGGACCACCACACCATCATTCAGAGTGGCATGAGCATCAACATGGCGAATCTTAGTGTGGCAATTGGTAAAGTTTTGTGACATCACTTTCCTATGGATCTCCTAAAGAATCAAGGCAAGAGTTAATGACTTAAAATTTAGACAATCTCCAACAAAGAACTTTCCAATACAACACAGGTAGAGATACCTTGCATGCTTAAATTACAAACTACACAGCCTGTACTGATTTGCCTTAGAACAGTTTATCCCTAGTGACCACCTTGAGCTTTTTTAAATTGTCCTGAATTGACAAACCTAAAATGTTTTACAGTAAATAAATGATCCCTATGCTAAAACTAATTATCTCCTAACAAAAAATCTTCAGAATACATCACTCAAAATGAAGAAATGTAACACCCTAAAGCTTATCAATGGCTACCATATTTACCAAGAAGCTTCTGAATACCAAAATTTCTAAAAAAAGAAATTGAAAAATTTGATCTTTAAACAGTAAATCTAAAATAAAATAAAAAAATAAAATAAAATAAAATAAAATAAATAAACAGTAAATCTATTAAATATGTATCTGCCTCAATTTTATGGGTTATTTTCTAGCTGTGTAACAACCTACAGAAAGCTTGGGATGCTTACTTTCTGTCCGTAGACTGCATCTGCTGGCTTTCCATTTGAATCCAATCCCCCATGGACGTAAGAAGAGTTCTTTCCATAAAATCTGTAAAACAGAGAGATAATTTATTTCTCAGTATCAAGTATCCTTAGATACTTATTTTTCATGTTTGGTACCTACCTGCCTCACTGGCAGACTCCTAGAAGAATGTATTTTCTTTTTCATTTCTGTGTGCATATGCATTCATAGATCTCCCCCCCTCTATATCACTATTTGCCAAATGGAAATAGATTTTGGTCAATGAGGCAGAACACTTATTTTATAAAATGTTGAGCTCCAGATTTCAGAGTAGGATGATTTTGTCAGTTAGGAAGGCTACTTTAGGATGAAAAACAGAAGTTCCCATTTTCACTCAAGAAGAAAACAGGCAGTTTTGATACAGATGAGAACATCTATACCATCCCACAAGCGTGGGGAGTCCAATCCTTTTACATATCTGAGAATGTATTTGAGGGGTTTCCATTAAAAACCCAGTAACTGGAGCACCTGGGTGACTCAGTCATTTAAGTCCAACTCTTGATCTTAGCTCAGGTCTTGATCTCAGGGTCCTAAGAGTTCAGGCCCTCTACCTTGGGCTCCATGCCAGTCATGGAGCCTATTTAAATTAAAATGAAATAAAATAAAATCCCAGTAACTCATGCAGGTGAAATTTAAGAGTAATTTTTAGCAATTTTTGCTGATGCAATAAGAGCTTCAGACTTTAATTCCGGATAGCTTTAATTTATCTATATCCTCAAAATGTTGTTTTCATTTTAATACTGGATCAGGAAAACCTGATAGATACAACCAAAAGTGCCCCAGCACAGATAGAACTGCTATTACAATTCGATAACTATACTACAGATACACAATTTTCCACAAATGAACCCCATGTCACTCTACATCCTGTTTCTGCCTGTTCCCCACAAAAGTGGGGAGATTTGGGCCCATGGGTACCCCAGTGTACCCTGCAAACTTTCAAGTTATTAAAAGGCTGTATGTCAGCCACTGAATCAGTACTGCTGGCCAATCCACTTCTCATTTCAGGCATACCTCAGAGATATCTTAAGTTCAGTTCCAAACCAGTGCAATGAAGAGAATTTTGCAATAGAGTCAAAAAAAAGATTTCTTGGTTTTCCAGTGCATTTAAGTTATGTTTACACTACACTTAGTCTATTAAGTGTGCAATAATATTTCTATAAAAATAATGTACATATCTTAATTAAAAAACACTTACTGCTAAAAAAAAAAATGCTGATCACCTGAGCTTTCAGTGAGTCCTCATCTTTTTGCTGGTGGAGGGGTCTTACCTCCACTTGGCGGTGACCGAATCAGGGTGGCAGGTGCAGAAGGCATTGGCTGTACCAAATTCTTAAAGTAAAAATTTTAAAATTTTTTAAAGTTTCCCCCCCATCAATTGCCTCTTCCTTTCACTAACAATTTCCCTATAGTATGTGATGCCATTTGATGGCATTTTACCCACAGAACTTCTTTCAAAATTGAGGGTTAATCCTCTTAACCCCTGCCATTAATTTATCAACTAGTCTACATAATATCCTCTAGGATATTATTTCAATAATCCTCACAGTGTCTTCATCAATAGATTCCATCTCAAGAAACCACTTCCTTTGCTCATCCATAAGAATTCCTCATCTGTTCAAGTTTTATCATGAGACTACAGCAATTCAATCCCATCCTCAGACTCCACTTCTATTCTAGTTCTCCTATTTCTACCTCATCTAGTTACTTCCTCTACTCAAGTCTTGAATCAACTTCTTCTCAACTCCTGTTTATCTTGATATTTTGACATCTTCCCACAAACCACTTCCAATATAAGGCTGTTTCATCAACACTGAAAATCTTTTGGGTAGTGTAGCCACCTTCATTAATTACCTGAGCTAGATCTTCTGGAGAACTTGCTGCAGCTTTCTCATCAGCACTTGCTACTTCACCTTGCACTTTTATTTTATGGAGACAGCTTCTTCCCTTAAATATCATGAACCAACAACCTCTGCTAGCTCAAACTCTACTTCTGCAACTTCACTTCTGTAAGCCTTCAAAGAATTGAAGAGTAAGTAGTAAGTGCCTTGCTCTGGATGAGGCTTTGGCTTAATGGAATGTTGTGGCTTGTTTGCTCTTCTATTCAGACTACTCAAATTTTCTCCATAACCATAAGAAGGCTGCTCTGCTTATTACTTGTCTGTTCACTCAAGTAGCACTTTAATTTTCATTAACTTTTCCTTTACATTCACAACTTAGCTAAGTGGTCCTAGCTTTTGGCCTATCCCCCCTTTGAACATTCTCTCCTCGCTAAGCTTACTTCTAGCTTTTAATGTTAAGGGAAAGACTACTATAAGGAAAGTCTATTCCTTTCACTTAATGCTTAAAAGCCATTTTAACGGTTAAGTAACTGTCCTAATTTCAATATTGTTGTGTTTCAAGAAAAAGGTAGAGATGGGGGATAGCTGTCAGTGGAGAATTCAGAGAATACACCTTTATTTAACATTAAGTTCATGGTTTTGGGGCACCTGAGTGGCTTAGTCAGTTAAGCAGCTGCCTTCAAATCAGGTCATGATCTCAGGGTCCTGGGACTGAGCCCTGCATCAGGCTCCCTGCTCAGCAGGGAGTCTGCTTCTACCTCAACCCCACCCCTTCCCCACTTGTGCTCACCCTCTTGCTCTCTTTCAAATAAATAAAATCTTTACAAAAAAAAAAAAAAAAAAAAAAAAGGAGTTCAGGGACACCTGGGTGGCCCAGCAGTTGAGCATCTGGCTTCAGCTCAGGGAGTGATCCCGGGTCCGGGGATCAAGTCCCACATCGGGCTCCATGTGCAGAGCCTGCTTCTCCCTCTGTCTGTGTCTCTCATGAAAAAATAAATAAAAATCTTTTTAAAAAATAAAAAATAATTTTAAAAAGAGTTCAGTCTTATATGAATGGGCATGAGTCCCAAAATAGTAACAAAAAAGATCGCTGATCGTAAATTACCAATAAATATAATAGTGTAAAAGTTTGAAATATTCTAAGAATTACCAAAATGTGACAAAGACACAAAGTGAGCAACTATTATTGGAAAAATGGCACCAATAAGCTCACTCCATGTAAGATTGCCACAAACCTCTAACTTGCAAAAAAATGCAGTTTCTGCAAAGCACCATAAAGCAAAACACAAAACAAGATATGCCTGTATATCTAAGCTGTACTTTAGAGATAAAATGTGGAAGAGGTCTTTGAGTCAATTAATATCAATATTGACAAGAAATACATCAATTCATTTAGCTATCTTTCAACTCTCAGTCCTTTTCAAATTCCAAACTTATCTAACCTGAGGGCATAAAATCAAATTTTTACATAAAACAACAAAAATAAGAAAACTTTTCAAATTTTTTCAATCACTTAATAGTCCTATCAGCACCAGATTTTTAACTCCTTAGCATCTTTATCTGCAAAATAAAGTTATCCTAACAGGTCTTACTAAAGGTTTCTGTAAAGATCAAAAGAAAACAGGTCAAAGGGGCACAGCCTGGGTGGCTCAGCAGTTTAGCACAGCCCGGGGGTGTGATCCTGGAGGCCTAGGATAGGGTCCCATGCCAGGCTCCTTATGGGGAGCCTGCTTCTCCCTCTGCATGTCTCTCTCTACCTCTCTGTGTGTCTTTCATGAATAAATAAATAAAATCTTAAAAAAAAAAAAAAAGAGGTATTTTCCATTTTCAGAGCAAGGACTCAAAACAAATTTATAAATTTTCTTTTGCACCCAATAGCATATAATATCCAATACACAAGCTTGTCAAAGGATAGAGAAAAAGAGTCTGGTCTAGCAAATATATATTTCAAAATCTCAAATTATTCTAGGGGCACCTGGGTGGCACAGTCGCTAAAAGCACATGAGAGGGTGGAGCATGCAAGAGCATGCTCGCTCTCCCTCAAATAAATCTTTAAAAAAAAAAGAAAGAAAAATTATTCTAACAAGTCCACATAGACATATTTATAGTTCTATATAATGCAAGACTGTTAAAGGAAATAATGGAAGCAACTGACAAACTCATCACTGAGGATTAACGTATGCTACATCTCTATAAATTAACTATGTGGATACTAAATGAATGTGATATATGTACTATCGTTATAAGAGGACCCCAGATTATCAAGTAAAAAATAAAGAAGACAGTATGTTAAAAATGTTTGCACGTCCATACAAGAAAATCTGTAAACATGGTTTTAGTAGAGCTTTCCATGTTTAAGAACTTTATTTATGGGACACCTGGGTGGCTCCGTGGTTGAGCATCTGCCTTGGGCTCAGGTTGTGATCCTGGGGTCCTGGGATCGAGTCCTGCATCAGGCTATCTACAGGGAGCCTACTTCTCCCTCTGCCTGTCTTTGCCTCTTTGTGTCTCTCATAAATAAATAAATAAAATCTTTAAAAAAAAATTTTTATTTACAAGCCTATACCATTTCCACTAAAGTTTCTTCATTTTCTTTTTTATAAAAGATTTTATTTATTTGAGAGAGAGATAGCGACAGAAGGCACAGGCAAGGAGGGGGGAGAAGCAGGCTCCCCAACCCGACATGGGGTTTGATTCCAGGACCCTGGGATCATGACCTGAGCCCAAGGCAGACACTCAACCAACCGAGCCACCTAGGTGTCCCAAGCTTCCCCAATTTTTAAAAGCAATCAACATAAAAATATTATCACAGGAACACATTCATACCAAATATTCAGGATTCACCAAAAAAACAGCACAAAAAAAAAAAAAAAAACAAACAAAAGCACAAATTCTATACCTTTATGTTTTCAGGCACTATTTTTCTGATAATGTGAAAGTCTAGGTAACTTAGTCTAATTTCCTTCTATTTGTATGTTCTACTTAAAATTCTAATTTTAGGGGCACTTAGGCAGTCCAGTCAGTGCTAAGTGTCCAACTCTTGATTTCAGATCAGGTCGTATCTCAGGGTTGTTGGGATCATCTCACAGGGGTTAGATGCTCAGCAGGGAATCTACCTGAGATTCTCTCCCCCTCCCTTTGGCCCTTCCCCCGTTTGTGTGTGTACATGATCACTCTTGCAAACAAATAAATCTTTAAAATAACTTCTAAACAAAAAATAAATAAAATTATAATTTTAACAGCTATCATTTACTGGCTCGTATGTAGAAAGCACTATTATGCAACAACACTGCAAGCAAACCCATTCCAAGCAAAATTAATTCAGAAGAGCCAATGCCAAAACTTTTATTTTATCTCAAGTAAGAGACATTTGTGATATCAAATAATGAACGGTCTGGACCTGCAACTATTTTATTAAGACAGAGAGCATAATGGCTTTTAGAAATCGCAAATATAGGGGATCCCTGGGTGGCGCAGCGGTTTAGCGCCTGCCTTTGGCCCAGGGCGCGATCCTGGAGACCCGGGATCGAATCCCACGTCGGGCTCCCGGTGCATGGAGCCTGCTTCTCCCTCTGCCTGTGTCTCTGCCTCTCTCTCTCTCACTGTGTGCCTATCATAAATAAATAAAAATTAAAAAAAAAAAAAAAAAAAGAAATCGCAAATATATATGCGACTCTCTGAAGGAGACTTTCATACTTGCATATACTATGCATGATGCATAAGAGAATCAAGTACTAAGTACTCCCATGCTAAAAAACATTAGATGATGCAGGATAAAAATTTTTTAAAAAAGGTTTACCTGTGTAGCATGTCTGGGGCCTGGTTCAGGAGCGTATAATACTGTCTCACAAATTCCCGCCCGACCAGCAGGGGACTAGGCTTCTCCATAACCATTGCTTTGGTCAATTCAACCTGGAAAAAAAAAAAAGTCAAATATAGTCAACTTACAAGTACAAGGCGAGAAAGTAGCAGGGGAGAAAACGGAATCATTTAAATAAATCAACTCAAAGTAAGACAAGGTATGTCAACAGTTCTGGTTTTAAGAACAAATAAAACCCACACAACACACCAGGAGAGATTTTTACGGAAATTTATTGCAATCTGATGAATTTGGGGTGGGGGGGATTATTATTCCCAACAGTCAATTTCTTTATAATGAATGAATATAAGAACTTGAAAGGTACACATTTTCCATCATGTACCTTACCATAATTTCTCTATATTTTTAAACCCAATTAAGAGTGTTCCAGTTCTAAGATTCCAAACATTCTTATTTGTGGCAGCATTAGATTCAAGGGTGATAAATATAGTTTTGACCTACAGACAACATATGATCACGTTTTTAGTGAAACTAAATCAGAAAAATTTTTAGTATCTTTAATAGAGAAACCACAAAATCTAAAAATTCTATGCTTAGTTTATGATGAAACCAAAAATAATCTGAAAATGAGTTAAACAAAATGTTCTTACTCAACAAAATGATTTCAACACCTCAAAATCATTACTTATCTTTGAGTATTAAGAAAGGCAACTGACACACGGTTAAGTCCTCAATTATGGTCAGTTATGATCAAATTAAAACTTTTTGAAAAGACATTGGTATGAGACAATCCAACTTTTCGGGATCCCTGGGTGGCGCAGCGGTTTGGCGCCTGCCTTTGGCCCAAGGCGCAATCCTGGAGACCCGGGATCGAATCCCACATCGGACTCCCAGTGCATGGAGCCTGCTTCTCCCTCTGCCTGTGTCTCTGCCTCTCTCTCTCTCTCTCTCTCTGTGACTATCATAAATAAAAAAAATAAAATAAAAAATTTAAAAAAAAAATCCAACTTTTCATTTGAGAAGATAAAATCATCCTGAAGTTAAACATACAAGCAAACAAAGAGATATATATACAGATTAATTACAGTATAAAAGGCAAGAAATTTTATTTCAGTTTCCTCAAAGGATGGGTGAAAGAATGAACTTGATCGGTCAATTATGAACAATTTGTGGAGATTTGTTTATCCTTATCTAGTACATCTGCATTATTCTTGAATATGTGTCCCATTTACTACTTATTTCACCAAAACCTAAGAAATTAGTTCAAGGTTGGTCTGCATTTTCTCCAGATTACAGGAACGAGGTCAATACAGAACACCTTCCCAGTCACAATGGAGAGCAGTTCGGCAGGCAGTTGTGAGAACATCAATAATAGGAATCTGGATCGTAAGTCCTAAACTAATGTACTCAAAGGCAGAACAAGAAATTGCTGTTATTTCTTCCATGGCTCATAGTCCAAAAAAAAAAAAAAAGTAATTTCAGATGTTCTCACTGATCCTAAATTTTTGAGAACTTCAGAGTTGGACATTGAAAATCTTTTTTTTTAAAAGATTTTATTTTATTTATTCATAGAGACAGAGAGAGAGAGGCAGAGACACAGGCAGAGGGAGAAGCAGGCACCACACAGAGAGCCCGACGTGGGGACTCGATCCCGGGTCTCCAGGATCACGCCCTGGGCTGCAGGCAGGCACTAAACCGCTGAGCCACCAAGGGATCCCAACATTGAAGATCTTAAATGTCATCTAGCCTATGGTTTTCAGGTTTTAAGATTTCCCATTACTTCATTTAAGCCAGAGCAACTGCATTTTTTATTACAGTTCCCACATAACTTTTACTTTCTTAAAAGGGCTTAGCTAATCTCATCAAAAGTCACTAACATCTGACCAAATCTCAAATAAAAGGAAAAATCCAATGTGATTCCATCATTGTGATCATCCACCAGATCTCACAGAAGACCATTCTCTCCCAATTCCTCAGAAACTGGTCAATTATTTTCATTCCATTAGTTGGACTTGCATATTTTCTAACATAGTTAAGAGGCTGAACAGAAAGTTTTGCTTCCCTCTATTACCCAAAATATACAATATATCCCCAATATAAAAGGCAATTTAAAGAGAACTTTCACAACAGGACAGAGGAACAGCACACATTAAGTAAACCCCTATTTTTCTATTCTAGTTGCACTTGCTTCTCAAGTTTCATCTTATTACCCAGTCAATATTATAAATGTCATCATTACTAGACCAATAGTATCAACCTAACTGCATCTTTTGATACTGCCAAGTAGTCTCATTATAACAAATTTCTAAAAATCTTCTTAGCAACTACTTTTCTGATATCCAATATCCCCATGCAAAATAAAGAAAATCCTCTAGATTATTTATCAAAGGTAAGAAAAATTATAATCTATTGTCCACCTCTAGACTAAAGCTTCTCTTTTCTCATTGAGATTACCTACATAATTCAAATTAAAAGAATAAAGAAAGTTCATTATTGGTTTAGTTACACCATTATCAACGTTTTATTTCAGGTCATCCCTCTAAAACCAAGAAAAAAGAAAAGCTAAATATTTATATGCTAAATCAAACTTCATTTCGTTTGTGGATTTTTGTTATTAATTCTGAAGCCAATACTAAAATCCACATCATTTACCAAGTTTCCAACATTCATTTTCTTTATTAGCTTAATGGTTTAATAAATTGAATATTCTGGGTTCTCAATTAGCATCTTTTATTTTTTTCTAAATAGGTTATACTTTATTTTAGATTGAAATTTTCAACTTCAGAAACATGCAATAGCTATGCTGAAACCAAATTTTCAATACTCTGCTACTCAAGTTACAAGTTTTAACGTCAATCATCAGTGTTGCCTCAAATACCCTTGTAGCCTCCTAAGGGCTCATATTTACACTCCAAGCACCATATAATTCCATTACAGTAGAAGCTCTGGCTCTGAAGTCTCTCCTTTCAGCTCTTCTATAATACAGACCAATGAATTCAAAGGAAAATGGAAATACTATTTAAAAAGAATATTCCTGTCAAAAAATAAAATATTCCTGTCAATTACCTCTCCATAAAAAAAAAGTAACATTTCATGGGATCATGGGACTAAATAATGTACATTTTATTGAAAAGAAACTATATTGTTTCACTGCTTAAAAAAAGAAACTGATTTCTTTTTTTTTAAGAAACTGATTTCTAGGGATCCCTGGGTGGCGCAGCGGTTTGGCGCCTGCCTTTGGCCCAGGGCAGGATCCTGGAGACCCGGGATTGAATCCCACGTCGGGCTCCCAGTGCATGGAGCCTGCTTCTCCCTCTGCCCGTGTCTCTGTCTCTGTCTCTCTCTCTCTGTGACTATCATAAATAAATAAAAAAAATTTAAAAAAAGTATCACAAAATTAAAAAAAAAAAGAAACTGATTTCTAAATTAAAACAGCCAAAGGAAAAAAAATAAAAATTAAATTAAAAAAAAATAAAACAGCCCAAGATTTCAAGAATTCCTCATGAGTCAGGGTCAGATAAAACATTTTGAAAAAAGAATGCAAGCTTCTTCCTAAATATTGTTTCTTAATAGAGATCATTTCTTATGTAACTTTCTAGCCCCAAAACTTGAATGTCTGACAAAGAATAAAGTTTTCTTTGGTTCAACATTCTCACACAAAAGATTAGAATTTTATACAACCAAAATGGATTTTTTATCATCCATTTGTCAGGTTTTTCAGAAGTTAGATTAAGATAACAGCCACAACACTGCTTCTTTAAGGACTAAGAAAAAACCCAAAAGAAAAGTGGTGCTACAATTCAGAAATTCCTGAGAGGGATGGGGGGGGGGCGTAGAGAAAATGTATGTAAAGTTGATTTTCAAATACCGTGCCCCCCCCTCAGTTAAGGGAATGGACACCCACCCCAACCACAGCTGAAAATCCACGTTTACCTTTGATTACCCAGAAACTTTATTACTAGCCTACTGCTGACCAGAAGCCTTACCAGTAACAAATGACAAACTTTGTATGTTATATGTATTATATATTGTATTCTTACAATAAAGCAAGCTACAGCAATGAAAACATTGAGAATCATAAAAAGAAAATACATTCCCAGAACCATTCTGTATTATTAAAAAAAAAAAAAAAACCCCATCTACAAGTGGACGCACAGAGTTCAAACTCATCTTAAGGATCAACTGTTTAAAAAAAAAAAAAAAAGGATCAACTGTTTGGGGATGATGACTATAAATGTATGATGCAAAAATTCTTCAAGCTGAATCCTTAAATTCTATAATTTAATTATTTGTAAACTGCACCTCCAAAATTCTATATAAAAAATGCTTTCAGGGGTGCCTGGATAGCTCAGGGGATTAAAAGTCGGATTCTTGATTTGGACTCAAGTCATGATCTCAGGATCGAGAGCAAAGCCCACATCATGCTCCCCACTCAGTGAGGGGTCAGCTTGAGATTCTCTCTCCTTCCACCCCCACTTGAACATCCCTGTGCACACTGTCTCTAAATAAGTAAAATAGAAGGAAAAGAAATGCTTGAGGAAAAAAATACTAAACATGACCTTCAGTTTACCGGTTTTCACTGAACCATCCAAATCCAAAGCAAATCTAAAACTGAGTGCTCAATTTTAGAATACGGAGAAAGTACTGAGATTCAAATAAAGGGATACCTGGGATCCAGTCCCGTATCAGGCTCATTGCATGGAGCCTGCTTCTCCTGTCTGCCCCTCTCTCTGTGTCTCTCATTAATAAAATCTTAAAAAAAAAAAAAATTCTCCAATACCATTCACTTGCTGTGCTCTTGGGCTAGTAACTTAATCTCTATGCACCCCAGTTCTTTCATAAAATCAAAATCATAACTGCAAAAACTGCCTATTAAATAGCAAGCACTGGGCAGCCCGGGGTGTGATCCTGGAGACCCGGGTTCGAGTCCCACATTGGGCTCCCTGCATGGAACCTGCTTCTCCCTCTGCCTGTGTCTGTGTCTCTCTTTCTGTGTGCCTCTCATGAATAAATAAATAAAACCTTTAAAAATAAGTAGCAAGCACTGAAAGTAAGCTGTTACTATTAACTCTAATTATTAACTAACTCTAAT